ATGAAGAAAGTCATAATTGAAAAAAAAATGACACAGACTGTAACAAAAAATGGACTTTATAATCAATTCTTTTAGCCTATTTTTATAAGAATAAATATGTTTTCGTAATAATAATTATTATAATAAATAATTGTAATAATAATAATCGAGAATATCTCGCGTGAAATCGGCAAAAAAAAAATTGAGAGAAGAAAGAAAAAATTCCCTAAAGTTACATGGTTCTAAATAATTCGTTATTTTTTAAATGCACTGATAAACCGAAATGCACGACTGAATAAAAAAAAAACAAAATTTTTGTCTGATGCGTTATGGACATTCAACCATAATTATTATAATTATTAAAAAAAATAGTGAAATGTATATGGTTGTAAGAATACGCGATATTACCAGTCGTTATTAAAAAAAAAAAGAGAAAAAAACTATTCGTTGCGAATGATAAAAAAAAAAATGCTTGAATTCTTTCGTATGGGGCAAAGATCGTAGACGTTAAAAATTAATGTTTACAAAATAAAATAAAAAAAAAAGGTATATCTGTGAGAAAATGAAAGTCACGGATTATACAAATCATTGAAAGATAGAGGAAGAAGAGGAAGAAGAAAAAAAAGAGAAAATGATGAAAACAAAAAAATTGACACTGGCAGGAAAAGTGGAATAACTGTAGATTTGAAAAAAGTTATTTAGCCAGCAGACTGCTGTTCATAGTGCCCTGTTATAGTGGGTTCTAAAGACAGAGTGCCGGAGTTTGAAAAATGCGTTTCAAATTTGTAAACAAAAAAAAAAAGAAAAAAAATGAATTATTGAATTATTGAATTTAATATAAACTCAGGTAAATCTTAAGTAAAAAGCTTTCATATCATTGTCGTCAATGCGACTCAATTGGCAATTTTTTGCAATTTTGGGATTTTTTTGCTTCATTCGGCGAAAAAAAGGAGAAAAAACGCAAAATTTGGTAAATTGCCCCTCGAATGTAGATTTTCCCAACACGAACCTTTTTTTCGCAGAAAGAAAATAATAGTCATTCAAAAATCAAATTTTCAATTTAATTAACATATTTTTCTATTTTTTATTAACAAATACCGCGATCGTCTAATTTTCCATAAATTTTCTCTTCGTCTCTCGAGGGGAAAAGAAAAGTAAAAGGAAAAAAAAGCCAAATGAAAGAAAAATCCTGAATTGTCAAAAAATTTGCCGAAATACTTTAAGAGAATAGTATTTTTTACAAGAATATTCGAGTTGTGAAATTATAGCAATTTTTTACAATCGAAAATTTTTTCTCTTCTTTTTTTTCAAAGTGGCAAATTCCTAATTATTAAATTTAAAAAAAAAAAAAAGGGAATGCTCCGCACTCTGACCGTAGGATCCTGATCTATTTTTCAGAATACGCTATTGTGATTATATTACTACATGATACATTTAAAAAGTCGAAAAAAAATCACAAAAAAAAAATATCTTGTACTATCGTTTTACAAATAATTTTGAGCAACTATTCCGTAATGTTATAATTACGCAATTAACAATAATTACTGCATTACAAAATATTATATTTAGTACGATTAGAAGGTAAAGTTGCTATCAGATTAATGAATTAAGTACAATATAAATAGTATGCATTCATTAGTCTTTATAATAATAAAAGAAAAAAAAACAATTAATCATTCTAATCAACGCGAAAATTGGCAGAAAAATTTCAAAAAGAAAAGAAAAGAAAAAAAAGGTGAAAAAAAACACACACATATATTATTAATATATTTTTCAATTTTTACGTTCTAGCTATCTCTAACTCTATCTCTCACACTCTATCTCTATCTCTCTCGATGAGAAAAAAAATTTACAAAAAAAATCTACAAAAAATCCTTTTTCATCATAAATTATTGTAGAAAAATCGTTTTGATTTTTCTTAATCGCTATTTATAAATTTAAAGAAACATATACGAATGTATAATTTTTTCTTTCTTTCTAAATAACAATTTTTTTAATGAAATAAAAAAAAACTTATACTTTATACAATAATACGATAGATTGTATCATGAAATATTAAGTAAAAATAAATTTGATTAGGTAATAAAAAATATTTAATTGTGTTTTTCTTTTAAATTACATTTTCCATTTTCCTTGGATCCAATTTTTATTTTTTGTTTTTCCTTGCAAAAAAAATTTGTTTTTCTCAACAATTTCAATTTTTTATTGTTTTCTAACAAAAAAAAGTATTTTTCTACAATTTCTATTTTTTTATAATTGATTTCCTAAAAAAAATTTTTTGTTTTCCTACCATAAAAAAAATTATTTTCCTACTATTTTTTTATTGTTATCCTAAAAAAATATAAAATCATTTTCATACATTTTCTATTGGTTTTCTACAAAAAAATTTGTATTTTCCTACAATTTCTTTTTTTTTATAGTTTTCCTTTCAAAAAAATTTATTTTCCTATAATTTCTATTTATTTATTGTGTTTCTATGAAAAAAAATTATTTTCCTACAACTTATAATATTTTTGTTATCCTAAAAAAACAGAAACTTATTTTCCTACAATTTGTATTTTTGTTTTATTTTTTTCCTAAAAAAGATGAAATTCATTTTCTAACAATTTGTATTTTTTTTATTATTTTCCTACATTTTCTATGTTTTTATTATTTTCCTACAGGTAAAAAATTTTCATTAGGTATAAGAAAAGAAATATTTGTCGCCGGTTTTTTACTTTTCATTTCCTTGAAACCAATTTTTTTTATTGTTTTCCTACCAAAAAATATATACATATTCAATACAATTTCTAATTTTTACTGTTCTTTTAGGAATTAAAAAATGAAGTTTCCTGTAAGTAATTTCTATTTTTCAATTATTTTCCAACAATTTTTTTTTTAATTTGATCTTAAAAATTGGTAAATTTAAGAAAAATGTTCATTACTAGGAATTTTTGAAATAAATAGAAAATATTTTTCATTTTTATATAATTTTCAGAGAAAATGTTAATTTATTAAAAGTGTAAATTTTACAATCTGAATCATGTCAAAATATAATAGGTAATTACGGAATGCTTGGAATATACATTTTTTTCTTTTATTATAGAATAATAAGAAATTTATCAATAAAATAACATACCTAAATAATTTTTTTTTGTTATCATTATTTATAATTAGCTGTGAAAATTCAAATTGTCTTTTTCTTTTCTCTTAACACTTTTTTAAATTGACGGTATTTCGAAGATTTAATACATTTTTCTGGATTTTCTAGCATTTTTTTTTCACACATGTCTTACAAAATATTAGTTCTCAGGCACCATTTTTTAAAATTGTTTTTTTTTTTATTTTTATAAATAATATATAATTTTGAGGATTTATTTTATACAATTCTTTTTTTTATTTTCTTTATGTAACAATTGAGTTACACAAGAAAAAAATTTAACGAATAAGAAAAATATAATTACCTTAGATTTACAAGTGTATGAAGAATTTATAAAAAATTCTCGAAAAAATGTTAATTAACTTCGTTCTCAAACTTTACAACTATTTGTTTTACCCCTACTTTCCAAAGTCTATTAACATTTTTGAAGAATTTTCCTTTTTTTTTACAAAATAAAATTTTATTACAATATTTCTTCTTTTTTTAAATAAAAAAAAATTCTTCTATCTCTGGTTGGAAGTTTCAAAATGTCCTTTTTTCGGTTTCATTTCGAGTACATAATGTATACACAATTTCAATTAACTCCAGAACACTTGCAAAATTTATCATTCCAAAGTGTACATTAATTACACATTAAAATCCAATTGATTTTACGCAAATATTTACATTTATTTTATCATGATGTGCAAAGTTTTTCAACAGGCTTAAAAAATAATTCAATTTATTTTTTTTTCGAACCAGACACATCATATTTTTTCCCCCTTTATTTAATCGTAAGTAAACGCTTGGCTTTTATAATTATTTATAATAAAGAAAATACTTTTTTTTAATGCTTAGGTGCAATAAATGGAATTTTCTTTTCTCTTCCTGATTAATTAAGTATGAAATTTTCATAAAGTGAGGAATTAAAGAAATAGCTGCCGAAATATTTGAGCAGCCTTGTTTTTTTTTTTGCATAAACAAAATTTTATCGTGTACTGAGCTTAAATTAATAAATCTATTAATTTAAAGATAATAAATACATGCAACTAGGATTAAATTTTTTTTTACATATATGTGTATGTAAATTATCTTCATTTTTTCATTTCAGATTTATATAATTGGAAAATTAATTAAAAATAATCTAGAATAATTAAAAACAACGCATTATATAATATATAATATGCATATTAGTTTTTTTTTGCTCACAATTTTTTTCTTTTCTATAAGCAAAAATAATTCATTTTTTTTTCCCATTGAAAAAAAGTTTCAACAATATTTGACAAAAATATAATATTATATAATAATAATAATAATTACAAATATGACAACGTATATTGCAAAAGAAATAACGGTTTTTTTTTACTTATTTTAAGTAAATCACATTTTACAGAAGTTAAAAATTTCTTTTTGTAAACATTAAAAACAGTCGATTAAAAACTGATACGCCGGTGCAACAACTATCAAACGTTATTCTTTTTTTTTAATATAATATTGATTGATTTCACAAAAGCATAATCAGAATATAATAAAATTAGAATTACCTGTCTAAAAAGAATAATACATATTTTCTATATATATATATTGAATTCAATGTGTAAATTATATAAATATATACATATTTATTTATTCGGGTGTCCGTAAAAAAAGTTTTGTTTTCCAAATTTGACAATTTATTCGAGAGAAAAATAATTTTTTTCTACTGTTTTCTTTTTCAAACTCGACAATTTATTTTGTTCCATAAAAAAAGTAAAATTTAATTTTATTTATATTCAATTTGTATTAAATATTTAAATTTTTACACAACCTCTTATTTAATATTTTATTAGATAAAATTGAGCTCTTTGTTTAATTTTTAAAATTTACTTAAATAAATAGAATATGTAAAAATAAATTCTTGTAAATTTATAATTAATTAGTTTTTTTTTTATAAAAATTAGCTAAAAATGGAAATTATCTAAAATTTAAAAAGAAAAAGAAAGGACGACCGAAAATTTAGTATTGAAAAATGATTTCTTACGGAGGCCCTAATATATACGTATATGTATATATGTATGTATATATAATATATATTTCAATTATATATATTTATATACATTATATTACAGGCATCATATTGGAAAATTATATTTTCCGCTAATCTACTCCTGAAAATCCTTGAGATCCCTCAATCGCCTTAATTAGCTTGTCCCTGAGTTGTTGATAACTTTCGTATGGTGGAAGGTCAATTCGATTAAAGCTACAAAGAGAGAATTCACGTGAAATTAGTTCAAAAAATATTTTACAATTAATCGTAAAAATGAAATTTCACATTAATTAAATACACTTTGATTGTTCTTTTTATGAAATTCGATAACAAACTAATGCGATTTGAAAATACAACTGTATTTTAATTTTATTGGTTTTAAAAACTTAATAAATCTTATAACAGTTAAAATGAATTTTATTAACTTTGTTAATTTTATTTCATTTTAATTTTACTAATTAAAATTTTATTTTTTATACGTTGGTGAAGTTTACAACGTTTATGATTTAGAAAAAAAAATATTTTTCTATTGAAATTTTTATATATTTTTCTGTTTTTTGCATAATTTTTTATCAATAATTCATCAATAATTTGAACAAAAAATTTGTAAACAGAACATTTGATGTCAAGAAAAATATTTTTTATCCTTCAATCATTTCATTTTAATTTAAGTAAGTAAAATTTCATTTTAATTTTATTTGAAAATTCGATAAATTTGATAAATATTGTGAACTTTATTAAAGTCTAAATTATTACGAAAAGAATGAAATTGATTGAATAAAAAATAGAAAAATTGGAAAAAGGAAAGTTTAATTTTTTTTTTATTTTTTAATTTTTTTTTTTTTATAATTTGATTTCATTCAAGGAATTTAATTAAAATATTGAAAATAATCGAATTCCTTCAAAAAATTAAATTTTTTTAATATAATCGATTTAGATAATAATTGTAATTAAAAAATTTACTATATCTATTAAATTTTATTAATATTATTGATAGAATATTAACTTCATTTAAACAATTTCATTGAGTTTTTCCAAATAATTATTAAATTCTTTTAAAGAATTTCTTTAAGTTTTTTTAAAATAATGTGTTCTTTTTTTAATAATTTTAATTGGAAATTTGATTTATAAAAATTTGCCATTGGAATTTTATTGAAAATAATTGAATTCTTTGCAAAAAAGGTTACTATTTATAAAAATAATTGAAATTTTTCTAAGAATTTATTAAAATTTTTAAGATTAATTGAATTATTTCGAAAAAGTGTATTAAAATTAAAAAAAGAAATTGAATTCCTGCAAAGAATTTTACTATTTGTAAAAATAATTCAATTCTTCCAAAGAATGTTATTATTTATGAAAGTAATTGAATTCTTGTCAATTTTGTCAAAGGATTTATTTAAAATTGCATTGAAAAAAAAATTCAAATCTTATATAGAATTTTATTAAAATTTATTAAAAATAATTAAATTTCTGCAAAGAATTTTATTATTTATCAAAATAATTGAACTCTTTTCCAAAAATTTTGTTAGAATTATATACAAAAAAATTGGATTCCTGCAAAGAATTTTTGAAAAAAGAAGAATTTAATTAAAATTTCATTGAAAATAATTCAAATATTTTATAGAATTTTATAAAAATTTTGTTAAAATTGTATAGAAAAAAAATTAAATTCCTGCCAAGAATTTTATTATTTTTAAAAATTGAATTCTTTTGAAAAGTTTTAATAAAATTCAAAGCTTTGGAAAATAATTCAATTCTTTCAAGAAATTTTATTAAACTTGTAATAAAAATACTTAATTAAATTCCTCCGAAGTATTTTATTATTTTTGAAAATAATTGAATTTTTCTGAAGAAAATTAAAATTCTCTCGAGGAATTTTGTTAAAATTGTACTAAAAATAATTAAATTGCATTTAGAAAATTTATTGTGATAATAATTGGTTTTCTTCAAAGAATTTTATTATTTCTAAAAATAATTGAATTATTTTGAAGAATATCTTTGAAATTTTTGAAAATAATATAGTTTTTTTTAATAATTTTAATAGAAAATTTCAAAGGTAATTGAACTTTACGAAGAATTATTTTCAAGTTTTTCAAATAATCGTGTTTATTATAAATTGTAGATAATTAAAAATTTGTTTAAAATTTTTGAAAATAATTGAATTTTTTCAAAGAAAATTAAAATTCTTTCGAGAAATGTTATTAAAATTTTCTGGAAATAATTGAATTCTTCCTAGAATTATATTACAATTTTTAAAATAATTGAATTTATGGAAGGAAATTTGTAATAATAATAATAATAATTGGATTTTTCGAGAAATTTAATTGAAATTAAATTGAAAATAATTGAATTCTTATAAAAGAGATTTATAAATATTTTAAAAAATAAATGAATTCCGCTGATGAATTTTCCTTCATTTATAAAGGATCTCGGACGTTAAAGATTATTTAACTAATGAAAATAATTGAATTTTTGAGAAGAATTTTATGAAAATCATATATTAAAATAATTAAATTCAACTGAAGAATTTTATTAAAATTACATTGAAAATAATTGAATTCCAGCGAAGAATTTTATTATTTTTGAAAGTAATTGAAATTCTTGTAATTTTTTTCTACGAATTTATTTAAAATTGTATTGAAAATAATTGAGTTCGTAAAAAAGAATTAAATTTAAGTTTTTGAATATAACATAGAATAATAATTAATTCTGAATTTGAAATTATTCAAAAATTGAAGTTTATATTTGAAAATAAAAAATGTAATTTTCATCAATAAAGATAAAATTAAATTCTGCGTGAGAGAAAAAAGAGAGAGACAAAAAAAAAGGAAAATAAATAAATAAAAAACTTACCAGGTGTGAGCTCGTGGATAATTATCAGGCGTCCCCCATTTTTCAATAGTAAATAATTGAGGTCCATTGCTACCGTATAATTCTTTAAAGCCATTCATTGGTACGCGCGATGTTCCCGTGACAAATTGCAATAGTCGTGCTCTCATTTCATTATTAAATGAAAGTATAACTCGCCAGAACCATTGAACAGTTATATGATTTGCATGATAGTCACCTTTATATAATGTATTTTGTTTCCAATCTTTAACGTCAATATGCTGAATGCCACACATCAACAATTCCAATTCATGTTCATCAAATATTTTCACCAATGTCAATGGTACAAGTGCATTGAAACCTTCTAAAAATGCATTCATTTGATCTTGAACACGTGAAACAAATCTCCACTGTATAACTAAACTTATATATTCGTCTTTATTTTCATTTGTTAACGATATATTTACACCATTCGGTTTAAGTTCTCTTTGCGATGTGTGTCCAAAACTTTCTTCATCAACACAAAATGTCAATTCCAATTCGCTTGGATCATTTTCCTTTATCCACAATAATGAATTGTAATATTCTGAATCAACACTTTCCATATCTTTAAGATCAATTGCTTTTCCCAGCATCATTTTGTAAAATGGTCGAATGAAGAAGGCTGAAAACAAATGCAAAGTAAGTTTTAAAATCTTCTCGCTATTTTATATTAATATTTGTAAAATAAATTAAGATTCATTATTTAATTAGAAATTATTATTAGTTTTTTTCTCAATAAAATTAAAAATTATAGGTAATAAAACAGTGTAAGAATTGCTTTTTTAAAATATTTTTTAATGTACTTTTTTTTAACTTAATTTTCATTTTTTTGATTTTTCATTAAAATTTTGGAGAATTCAATTATTTTAAAAATTTGCAATTAAAATTTTTGAGAATTTAATTGTTTTAAATATTTGCAATTAAAATTTTTAAGAATTCAATTATTTTAAAAATTTGTAAATAAAATTTTTGAAAATTCAATTTTTTAAAAAATTTGTAAATAACATTTTTAAAAATTCAATTATTTTAAAAACTTGCAATTAAAATATTTCAAAATTTGTAAATAACATTTTTGAAAATTCAATTATTTTAAAAATTTGTAAATAATATTTTTAAAAATTCAATTATTTTAAAAACTTGCAATTAAAATTTAGCAAAATTTAATTTTCAAACATTTTAACGAAAAACTTAAAAAAAATCAATTATTTACAATAAAATTTTGCAAATTTTAATTATTTAAAGACTTTTTAATTATGCATTTCAAAAATTTTAAACTTTGAAAAATTAATCAAAACTAAATTTTTGAAATATTATTTGTCAACAGTTATTTTTGACACTCGGAAAATTAAAATAATTTGCATTTTATACCAAAAAAAAAGTATCATTTTGTTGCAATATTTAAAAGAAAAGTCGAATTTTTTGAAAATAAACAAAAAAAAGTCGCCTTTTCTGAAAATATTCGAAAAAAGCCCAAATAGTCGAACTATCCGAGGCCTGGGAATTATTCAAGAGAAAAAAATATTTCTACCTCTGCTATTCTCAATTAAAACTCACCGTCTAAAAGTTTTCCATGATAAACTGCCATGCCCGCAACTCGGCCAATAAATTTGAAATAATTTAAATGTTCTTCATTACAAACACCAGAAGCAGGATTTATTTGAAGAGTGTAATTATCCCTGAAAGTGGATTTTATGTTTTTTTTTTTTTGTTCACAGATATTCACAATAAATTTTTATGCTCGTACAAAAGTTAATTATGTAAAATTGAAAAAGTTTTTTGATAAATAATAAAAATATATAATATTAGTGAGAGAAAAAAATTGGGAGAAATATGGAAATTTTCAATAATTAACTTTCGTAAAGAACTAATTTATCATTTCCCTGGCTTTTAATGAAATAATGTTTTTTTTTTTTAATTTAAATTGAAAGAAAGGAAAAAATGATAAAGTAGACTTACATAGCAGAGTATTCGAAAAGACCGTAATATGGATTAAACATCTCTTTTGATAATAAAAAGAACCACTCTCTCGCCAGTCCACCGTAATCCAATCCAACTTCACCCTCGAATTCTACCCACAGTTTTGTTTTTAAGATTTCAACTCTGTTAACTGAGCTAATTATACGATAAGAATCTTCTAAAATGTTACTTCTGATGACTTTAACTTCAAATTTGTTTGGTACGTTATTCTGTAAATTAAATTGTCCATTAGTTTTTTAAATTCACTTAAAGTATTTAATTTTCAAATTAATTTCAAAAATAAATAAAAATTAACTTTTATTTATTTTGAAATTTAATTTTCATTCAATTGTCAAATTAAATTAAAATTAACTTTTATTTACTTTCTAAATGTAATTTTTCATTACTTTTTCTAATTAAATTTAATTATTAATTAATCTTGACTAAAAATGTTTAAAAGAAAAGAATTAAATTCCCCGCAAATTAAAAAGGAAAATACTTACAGGTTTTCTTAACTGTGACTTCAGGTACTCATATTTTCTTTTGTAATCTCTCGAATAAGGAACAGCCTAGAGACACAATTTTTTTTTCATTAAGGTACAAAATAATTCATTTTACTTAGCCTAGAGGCAAATGTTTCTTTCATTAAGATACAGAAAGATTTATTTTAATTAGAATCAAATTATTTACCTACATAAAATTTTTTTAAATTCTTTTACTTTCGAATGTTTCCAATTTTCAATAATTTAATTATTTTAAAAAATTATTTTTTTTGTTTATCTCAACTAAAAAGGATTTTTTTTAAATTTCTTCAAAGTAATTTTGGTATTGAGTTATTTTAGAAAATTATTTTCATGTTAAAAATTCCAACCAATCAATTTTGCTACTAAAATTATTCAAATAACGTTTAAAATCATAATTCTGAATCATTCAAAATTAATTAAATTAACAAAAGATTTTAAACTTTAATTTCTTAAATTTACTAAAATAAAATTTGTGAATTAAATGAAAAATAACAAAATAGTAACTTATAATTTTTTCCAGTAAAAATATTTAAATAACTTTTAAAATTTTAATTTCAAATCGTTAAAATTGAATTAAATTAGTAAAAGATTTTCAACTTCCATTTCTTGAATTTACTAAAATAAGAAAATTTGGCAAAAAAAAAAAAAAATGAAAATCAATTTGAAAAGAATATTATTTAAAAATGTACTTATTTGAAAGAAAAAGAAATTGAGTAATTTTTCCTTTCAATTTTTTTACTTACTGGACCAGCAATTTGTGGATTAGACATTCGAGGATCCTCCCATTGTGTTGTTCTGGTATCTGAAACAATTAAATAACTAAATTTTATCAAAATCGAAAAATAATATCTTAAAATAATATTTATTTATTTCTATATTTAATATACAGACTTCGCAAAATAATTTGTAATTTGAATTAAATGACAATTTATTAATACTAATTTTTATAATAAAAATAATAAAAATAATAATAAGAATAATAATAGCAGCAATCACAATATTTTTTTTCATTAAAATAGGTGAAAAGATAAATTATTTTCTAAATTTTTTTAAATTAACGTACAAAATAACTATAAAAATACATTTTTGATCCATAATTAAATATTCTATAATTAAATAGTTCAAAATTTGGATAATTTGACATTTGAATCGATTAATCTTTAAACAGATAAAAAGTTTGACAATTTTAAGCTACAGTGGATTTAATTTCTGATTGATTAAAATTAAAATAAATTGAAATCTATTTTAATTTCATATTTTGAGGAATTAAATTTAAAATCAGTTAAAAATTGTACTACCAACTTTGTTTTGCACAATAAAAATTTGGATTAAATAAAATTTACATCACTTGCAATTGAATTAAAAATTTTAATAGAATTGAATTTTTTACTGATTGAAATTTGAATCCAATAAAATTTGGATGAATTAATTAATTTGGATAAAATTGTAATTTTGAATAAATAACTTTAATAAATAATAAGAAAAAAATAAAAACTTTGGATAGTAAATTGAATGTTGGTTTAATTAAATAGAAAATTTAATCAGAATTAGAATGAATTTAAATTTTGATCGATTATCATTTTAATCAAGAAATATCTTCAATCAGTTAAAATTGAAATTCATTTGTAATTTGAATTGATATTAAAATTCGTTTTTAATTTGAATTGAAATTAAAATTCATTTGTAATTTGAATTGATATTAAAATTCGTTTAAAATTTGAATTGAAATTAAAATTCATTTGAAATTTGAATTGAAATTAAAATTCATTTCAAATTTGAATTGAAATTTAAATTCATTGAATTTGACAATTTTAAATCAATGAACAATTTTGATAAATTGAAACTTCGATCAATTGAAGAATTTATAATAACAGAAAAAGGTGAAAATTTATAATTTTGTAATCGTAAGGTAATTTAAGCTCTGGAGTCATAAAAAAATTTATTTTTAAGCTAATGACCTTTTTTCCCCAATCCTGAGATTTTTTTTTATTTATTTGACATTGTAAATTCAACAATTTTTGAGAAATAAGAAATCCAAAAATTAATCGAATCATGAAAAACGTAAAAAAAAAGGTGAGAAATTATCAAAATAGGTAAAGATGACAAATTTTTAAAAAGGTAATAAAAAGTGCATAGTGCCAAACTGTGGACTGTTAAAAAATAAAATATAAATAAAAGTAAAATAAAATAATATTTTTGTTAAATTATTAAAAATATTTACTTTTAATTATTATTTTTTTTCGTAAAGTATTTAAAGTATTTCGTAAAGTATTAAAATTTGTAAAGTAACTTTTTCTTAAAGAAAATAAGACAATATGTGAATTATAAATATGAGAATTAAAACCGATAACTTACTGTGATCGATAAAAAATATTCTTCCGTCGGTATGTATCCTTTCCTCCCATCCCTCAGGAAGTGGTCCAAGTTGATCTAAATCATTTTTTACAGCAGCATTATTGAAATAAGGCATAGGACTTGGAATTCCAGTTCGTGGATCAACCCATGTTGTTGCTCTTTCGTTGTGATCGATGAAAAACACTCGACCATTGGGCGCTAATTGCATACTCCAACCTTGAGGAAGTCCTTCGCCATTTACTGAGGTCAGAGATGGTCTCGGACTTTCTAACTGAATTTTCAATTACAAATCAATTTAATTATCTCTCCATTTGCTTCTTGATAAATTAATAATAAGAAATTATTGATTGATATTTTATTATGAATAATTAAAATTTACCACTTCAGATGATCGTCTAGAACCAGCTGGACTGTCTGTATTATCTTCATTCTGAAATTATTTTCAAATTAGTATTTCAAATTTTTATTATTAGAAATCACTATTATAAATAATTATAGTAAATAAATTATTGTACAATAATGTAAATAATTTTTTTGACTTTATCACTCGGTATGCTTAATTATAAACAAAACTTTGAGATTAATAATATTATTTATCGTAATTATTAATCAGAATAAAATAAATAGAAAAATAAATCACTTACATTGCTAATCTGACTAATAACTGAACTTCTTTGTCTACTTTCATTGTCATCGACACTGATATGAAATCGTCTTTGAAATTCTGTTGTTGCGGTGTCTAAATTTCGTTGTTCTTGTGTTATACCGCCGGTTGGTGCTGCATTTCTATTAAAATAAATATTTATCATATAAATAAATTAATTACATTAAATATTAAATATATAAAAAAATTAAATTAAATATTTAGTACCTATATAAGAATTTAGAGTTTTTAAAAGAATTTAATTTTTCGTAAAATTAGTAAATAAAAAATAATTACGTTGCCGTAGGCCTCTCCCATTGTGTGAATCGATGTACATGATTAACATAATATGTTCTTCCATTTGCATCTTGTCTTTCTTCCCATCCTGGAGGTAATGGATTATTTACCAGTATTACCTATTCAAAATATTGATATTAAAAGAAAAATAATCAATAATAAGAAATAAAAAAATGGTATAGTAAATTAGAAATTTAGTAAATTTATTAGAATAAATATATTAGCAAGTTAATTAAAATATAATTAATAAATAGAAAAATAGTAAAGTAGTAACAATTATAATAGTAAAATTGTAATAGTAGCAAAGTAGTAACAATAATTAATTAAAACTGAGTGAATACCTCGGCTGGTTGCTCGACTGGACTGTTTGATGTAGAAGTTGGCTGATCCAATAATTCCCAACCACCTGAATCAGATGTTTCAGCTTGATTGGTAACATTGCTTGAAGAATCTGAGATATAAGCGTGATAAACTTCCAGAGTGCCTTTTATTCTTGATTTATGACTAGAATTACTGTAAATACAGATTATTTTCAATAACTTGTTTTCAAATGTTATTATGAATAAATAAATTTACATGTAAATTGTGGAAATTTAAATTAATGAAATATGTTTGAGAAAAAAACTTTTATCAAGTTACGCTGAATTTTTTTTTTTAATTTATAAATAAAAAAATACATTTTAAATTAAAGTTTAAAAAGATTGAATTTTGAGATAAAGATTAAAATTGAAAATTTTTAAAATTTGGTTAAATTGAAATTTAGATCAATTAAATTTGAGCTTAATTTCAATAAAGATGAATTGGAATTTTAGAGACGAAAAGTTTTGACGAATTTAATTCAAAGTCAACTAAGATTTTAATCGATGGAAATTTTAACAAATTAAAATTTATTAAAATATACATTAAATTAAAAATTTTAGAAACTTAACTTTTGACTAAAAATATTTTGAAAAATTTACAAAATAGATGAAATAGGTAAAAATTAACGAAATGAACTTTTAGTCTTCAAATTTTCGACTATTTTTACATGTGATTAAAGTGTTTTGTGTTTTTTTTTGAGAAAAACAAAAAAATGTACCTTTTAGGTCTGAGAATATACTGTTTGGTAGGAATAGTTCGTCCATCTTGTTCTTTAGGCAAATTGATCAATGTCAGTTCTACCATTCCAAGAAAATCATCTCTGGTCAATCGGTTTTCATCGAATACCTGAAGTACGAGTTTGTGATCTACTGGTTTTACCTGAAATTTAAAAAAAAAAAGAATTGTTTTTACTTCCAAAAAAAGATTGTTTAAAAATATAAAATACGGAAATAAATAAAGATAACAAGGGCATTTAAAAAAATTATTATAATTAAGTTGTCATTTATTACTTTTTCTAGCAAATGTTCGAAGCGAAACGCAGTATTTAATTTATTATAATGAAAATAATGAAAATAATATTTTTTATTTTCAAATATCAAATTCAATTTCTGAATAATTTCAAATTCGGAATTAATTATTATTCTACCTATATTATATTCAAAAACTTTAATCAAATTCCTTTTTACGAATTCAATTATTTTCAATACAGTTTCAATTAAATTCGTCGAAAATATTTACAAGAATTCAATTATTTTCCAAAATAATGAAATTCTTCGCACGAAATTAATTATTTCCAATACAATTATAATAAAATATCTTTAAAAAATTAAATTATGATCACAACATTTTTAGAACTTATTAAATTTTTTTGGAAGGAACTCAATTATTTTCAAAAATTTCAATAAAATTCTTGATAAATATTCAATTATTTATTAAATAATACAATTCTTTGCAAAAATTCAATTATTTTCTTCACAATTTTAACAAAATTTCCACAAAATGTTAAATTTTAATAAAATTCTACAAAATATTTGAATTATTTTCAATGCAATTTTAATTCAATTATTCGAAAAAATGTACAAGAATTCAATTATTTTCATAAATAAGAAAATTCTTTCCATGAATTCAATTATTATTTTTCTTTGAAAAAATTGATAAAAATTCAAATAGGTATTCTCCAAATTTTAAAATGTTATTAAAGTTTTCTGAAGGAATTCAATTGTTCTCAAAAATTTCAATAAACTAAAATAAATAAATAAAATTTTTCTCCGAAATTCAATTATTTTACAAATTTTAAAATTTTATCAAAGTTTTTCGAAAAAATTCAATTATTTTTAATAAATTTGAATAAAATTCTTTACATAAGAACTGCAACTATTTCCAATGCAATTTTAATTAAATTCTTTTAAAAAATTGATAAAAATTCAATTAATAAAATTAATTCAATTTTAATAAAATTTTATTAAAGGTTTTCCAAGGAATTCAATTATTCTCAAAAATTCCACTAACTAAAATAAATAAATAAAATTCTTCTCTAAAATTCAATTATTTTCATAAATAATAAACTTGTTCAGAAGAATGCAATTTTTTTTACAACATTTTTCATAAGAATTCTATTATTTTCAATACAAAAATTACAAAAATTATGATAAAAATTAGTATAAAAAATTATCAAAAATATTAGCTTTTAAAATAGGAAAAAAGTTCACATATTAGAAGTAAAATTATGGAAAATTTATTTATTTATTTGTTATTTAAGTAGTAAACGGGATTAAAATAAACTAATTTTTAAATTACTTCTGTAAAATATCACAAAACTTATTCTCTAAAATTAAATTAGTAAGGATTTGAATTATAATTAGAACAAAAGTGAAACGAATTTTCTAAAAATTAATGTTTTAATTCTACAATAAAATGAAATTAATTTTACAAATTAAATCATGATTTTTGACTCAAGAGAATTTTATTTAATAAATTTTTTATTATTATTTAATCTTGAGAACTTTAAATTAGAATTTGTTTAATTTTTAAATTTCTAAACATTTGAAAAGAGAAATTATCAAGAAAAAAAGAGAAAAAAAATAAGGAAACAAACAAAGCAAACAAAAAGTAAAAACTTACTCTGAATATAAATTCTTCCTCCCATACTGGATTCAATGTTTTTTTCTTCGTCTTCGTAAGCACAGAATCCACAGTATCATCTCCATTTACAGTATTTAAATCGACTCTCACGTAAGGATCACTGGCACCAAAGACATCTTTTTTAGCCAAATGATGTCCAGCTATTACTTTCAGTCTCAGCTTACTCGTTGCTTCTTCGCTCTAAATACAAAAATTCAGTCAATTAATATTTTTCTCCATTCAGAAAATCAAAATTTACAAATCTAAATTGCAAATAAAAAAAAAACAATCATCATTTCTGAAAAATGTGATAAAATAATTTTTCTAAAAAGCAAAACAAAAATTATAGGGAAAAGAAAATTTGTGTCGAAACCATTCATAACTTTCAGAAAAAAAATATCAAATGTAGGTCAACAGAAAAAATATAATAAGACTTGAAATTTTTCTCTAAAATTCCAATCAACGTGAAATAGAAATTACCAATTCAAGATTCAAGATATATTCCATACGCAGTATTTCTACTTTTCTTTTTTGCAATTTTTTTTGTTTACTTTATGTTTTTTTGGAATTCTTAATATTTTCTTTATTAATGAATGACGTAATGTACATATGGTTAGTGAGACTTATTTTTACCATTACTCTTCACTTTATTAGTTTTCACTTTCTCAAGGTCATTTATGATAAGCGTAAAAAAGGTTTTTCCATTTTTTGTTAAATAAATTACTTCACTTTTATTCTACTATACACGTGAAAGTAATTTTAAACTAATACAATCTGAAAACTCATCACATTGACCAATATACAAAAAAAAGTGATAATGATTAAGATTGTATAGGATTATAGTAAGGAATCATTAAATATCAATCGATAAAACGTTTTCTTTACTTTATTTTATAAAGACTAAAATATAATGCGCAAAATTCTTCACCAAATAACTTGTAAGTTTTCTATTTTGTTTTTATTCCACGTCTTTTTAATAATCTAAATAATAAGAAAATTATGTAAAACGTAATAATTTATTCTTTCCCTTTAAAAAAAAGAAAAGAATCCAAACTAAAAAAATCAACAATAACAAATTTTTTACATCAACCGTTAATAAAATTAACCAATTGTCAAAATAATACTGTATTCACAATCAGTAAAGTGAAAACTTTAAACTAGTGAATGAAGTCCTTTATACTTAATTATTTCATGACAGCTAAATACTTTAGGTGTCTATATTCTCTATACATATGTATATATGTAAGTTGAACAATTAAAAATTCAATATTCATGATTTAATAATAGCAAACAATTATTAGTGTTGATGATAGAAAAAAAAGTCATTGAATAGTGTATTATTCGATGTGTGTGAATATAATGAAAGAAATGGAATAGAATTTAAAAAACCCAACCTGTACTTGTCAAAACTGTCAAAAAAAAAAAAAAAATTACGTACGCAATCCCCGTCGTCGCCGGCGGTTGGATTATAGCCATACTCATTTTCCTCTGCCATTAACGAATTCTATGAACAATATTTTACTTTAATTTTTCTAACTATTGCGAACTAGTAATAAAATTGAACAAGATTCTTAAATTCTTTATATGCCATCAAGAAACAATTTGGTATGTCCCTTCCCAACACACACTCACACACCTAATGTCGTATCACTGCACTTCTTCATTTCTTTAATAATCGGTATTAACATGTAAGTCATGTTAAGTGAATTCTTTTTATTTGCGTAAAAGTAGGCGTAAAGTTTTACTTTTAAGGGGCATTCATAGGTTTTCTTCTTGCGTTATGACGTTTTATGTCGTTCTTCGAATGTTGTTCGGTATTTAATTTTTCCCCCACTCTCTAAATTGTGAAACAAGAGAGGTTTCATGGAAACACACATGGTTTTTTTTTGTTGATGTGGTTTCCCAACTCTGATGCTAAGAAACTGTCAATTGCTGTCAATCGTGTTTTCGCAATTGTTAATGTGATTATTTACGATTTATTATTTGTATGTATTTAATATTTACATAATTGTGGATTAATTATAATAAAGAGGAGGATTAAATAAACGGCCTCAAGATGATGATGGATTATTTTGTCACGAATAATTCCCTGGCTCCAGCTCCAATGGGAATACAGAGTACAGCTGGAGCTGTTCCTGTTAAAAATGATAAAGGTATATTTATTTTTTATATTTTAATAATAACAGGCCTTGTATCGACTCTAAAACTCAAAAAAAATGTCAAGTTGTTTATTTTATTCAGGATTTTATTTACCTTTTTCCTGATTTTCGGAAAAATATGAACTTTTTCTCTCATTCTGACAGTAAATTCAATTCTCAGTTTTTGTAAAAAAAAACAATTATTTCCAAAACATTCTTTTATGTATTTCGTTGTAAACACGATTATTTTTTAAGAAAATCTCATTTTTTACGAGAATGTAAAAATTTTAAGCACTTTCTCCAAAATATAACATTTATTTCGATAAAATTTGACGAAGTTTATAATTGTTTCACAATTTGAAACCTTCTCAGATTTAATTATTTCTAAAATTTGCTACTGTAACTTCTTCAAAATTCAGTTATTTTCTAGAATTTTTTATTAAAATTGTTTTCAAAATCAATTATTTTTAATAATTTTTTTAAAAAGTTCTTTGAAAATTTAATTATTCAAAAGAAAAAGAAAGTTCATTCGAAAAACGTCTAAATTTTATTATTTTCATTTTAATTTTACGAAATTTTGATAAATCCAAAATTTTTCAATTAAATATATGTTTATGTTTGAAAATTTGAAAAATTTACTAATAAATAACTTATTTTAAAAATTGAAATCCAAAATTTTCAAAAGAACTAAGTTTTTAGAATTTTTTATTGAAATTATTTAAAATTTTAATTCAATTATTCGAAAACATTTCAATTGGATATAAATTAAAATAATTCCATGAAAATTACTAGTAAATATCTAATTTTAGAAAAAATTTGGATTCAAATTTTTTCAAAAACTAAGTTATTTAGAATTTTTTTGTTAAAATTAGTAAAAATTTAAATCTTTAAAAATTTCAATTTGAAACCTTTTGAAATTTACTTATTTCTAAAAATTACTCTGCAATTATTTTTCAAATATTCTTTTATTTTCCAGAATTTTCAACGAAAACTATTTTCTAAATCAATTATTATTAATTTTCAGAAAGTTCTTTGCGAATTGGAATTTAAATTATTCAAAAAATTTTCTTTTGAATGTAAATTGAAATAATTCCAAAAAATATCAATAAATAACTAGTTTTTGAAAATTTGAATTCAAATTTTTTCGAAAACTAAGTTGTTTAGAATTTTTTTGTTAAAATTCAAAACAAAAATTCAAATCTTCAAAAATTTCAATTTTTGTAAATTTTACAAAAATTTAATTATTTCTAAAAAATTTCTAGAATTATTTTTCAATTATTCAATTATTTTCTAGAATTTTTAACTTAGATTTTTTTTTCTAAATCAATAATTTAATAATTTTCAGAAATTTTTTTGAGAATTGAAATTTCAGTTAATTGAAAACTTTTTAATTAAATATAAATGGAAATAATTGCAAAAAATTACTAACAAATAACTAATTTTAAAAAAATTGGAATACAAATTTTTTGAAGAACGAAGTTTTAAATTTTTTATGAAAACAATTCAAAATTTAAATCTTCAAAAATTTCAATTTAAAATCTTTTGAAATTTAATTTCTTTTAAAAACTTCTACAATTATTTTTCAAATATTCATTTATTTTCTAGAATTTATAACATAAATTCTTTTCTAAATCAATTATTTCTAATAATTTTCATAAAGTTCGTTGAGAATTGAATTATTCAAAACAGAAAAAGAAAATTAATTTAAAATACAATTATTTTCAGTTAAATTTCACAAAATTTTGATTTTATTTTTAAAAAAATTATCTAATTTCAAAAAATATTAAAAGTTTTTGAAAAACTCAATTGGTCCAAAGTTTGGTATTTAATTGTTACCAAAAAATTTCTACCACATTTCTTTCAACATTCAAACTTCAAAATTGTTAATAAAAAAATTTTTCGAAATCAATTACAATTTTGAATAATTTTCATAAAGTTTCTCGAGAATTCAATCGTTGAAAATATGTACAAAAATTTTATTTTATTTTATTAAAATATCGACTGTAACTTTTCTTGGGTTTTTTAAAAGTTTTTAAGGTGAAGAAATTAATTTACAAACAGTTTTATTTTATTTTTTGTTTATTTTCAAAGTCTTTACCAAAAATTAGGATTTTCGCAAATTGTTTGCAATTATTTTTAGGAGAAAATTTGACTTTAGTTATTTTTCACAGTTTGGAAATAAAAATAAGTAGCATTTCATATAAAAAAAAGTGTTTTTTTACAATATTTGGAGAAATAGTCGAAATAGTCGCGCCGTTTATTAAAATAAGTGGAAATTTCTTTATTAATAAATTATCCTTCATTTTATTACCTTTATTTATTTTTATTAATTTTATAATTTACTTTTTTTTCTATTCTTTTATATTAAGAAATTTTTAATTTTAATATTAAGAATTAGTTTCTAAAATTGTCTGTGAAAAATTAAAATATTGCACAGAAACAAAAATTCTTTACCAAAAAATAATCAAAAAAACTATTTCTGAAAATTTGTATTTTTAATTCTTTCATTTTTCATTGCAGGAGAGTTGTCTATGAAAAAAGTAAAAGTCCATCGCTACGTATCCGGTAAACGTCCCGATTACGCTCCAGCGGCAAGTTCCGATGAAGAATCAGAGGAAGACGATTTCCTCGAGAAGCGAGTTTACAAAACCTACGAGGAAGCCGAGGGCAGTGCAGAAATTGTCGAACCACCGCGCAGTAAAATTGGCGACGAGGACGATCCCCGTCTACGTCGTTTAACACGTTTAAATAAACAAAAGGAGGCCGACACCGAAATTCGTGCCGAACGCCATAGACACGTCTACGAGCCCGAGGTCCTCGAAACAGTTCCCGATCGTCTACGCGAGAGAATAAAACTCGAGAGTTCAGATTCTTCCGAAGATGAAGAATTATCCGATACAGAAATTGAGAAACGTCGCGAGGAACTCAAGAAACGTGTTATGTCCAAAAAAGATGCCGACGAGGATCTAATACAAGAAGAGGATGAGGAGAAATCAGGCGACAGTTCAGAGGAGACCTCCGAATATGAGGAATACACCGATTCAGAGGAGGAAACCGGTCCCAGATTGAAGCCAATTTTCGTCAGCAAAAAGGATCGTATCACAGTGATGGAGAAGGAAAAGGAGATATTCAAGCAGAAACAAGCGGAAGCAGAGGCGAAAAAAATGGCCGAGGAGAGACGAAAGCAAACATTGAGAATTGTCGAGGATATCGTTCGCAAGGACACGCAAGTCAGTAAAGTGAATAGCGATATTGACAGTAAACTCGAGGACGTTTGTACCGACGATGAGAATGATGAGGCCGAATACGAGGCGTGGAAATTGCGTGAATTAAAGCGAATTAAACGCGATCGTGAGGAGCGCGAACAAATGGAGAAGGAGCGTTTGGAAGTTGAACAACTTCGTACAATGACTGAGGAGGAACGTCGACAAGAGGCGCGTCTCAATCCACGAACAATCACAAATAAGGCGGCGAAAGGAAAGTACAAATTTTTACAAAAATACTATCATCGCGGTGCATTTTATCTCGATAAGGACGATGCCATTTTCAAGAGGGACTTTTCCGGTGCCACATTGGAGGATCACTTTGACAAGACGGTGTTGCCGAAAGTTATGCAAGTCAAGAACTTTGGTCGCAGTGGTCGTACGAAATACACGCATCTTGTCGATCAAGACACAACACAATTTGATTCGCCATGGATTTCGGAAACTGCTCAGAATTTGAAATTCCATAATTATCAAGCGGCGGGAATAAAGCAGGTGTTTGATCGTCCATCATTGAAGAAACGGAAAAATGAATAAAAAAAATATATATTGTGAAGGGTAAATTTTTCTTACTTTTAATATTTCATTTAAATTAGAGGATAGATTTTTGATCTTAATTTAAGTTAAACAAATATTAATGAATTATTGCAAATAAAAACGAAATAAAATCTTAAACGAGAGTTTTTTTTTTTGTACCAATAGAAAAATAAATTATATTTTTCTTCAACTAAAATTTTTTTACTATTCGTTTTATAGAGAATATTTATCAATTTTATGTTTTACAATCTATGAGTAATTTATTTTAATTTAAAACGTTTTCTTTATACATATATAATTATGTTACACAATTCAAACAATTTTTTTAATTCGCAGATTAAACCCTCAATTCTTTTCGTTTGTTTTTTTGCTTCCTAATATTTTTTTGACAATTTTCGTTTTTATTTAAAAAAATGTTACAAATTTTGTGCCTTTTATAATTCTGAATTTAAAATAATTTAATTTTTGAATAGAATTTTTTTTTAAATTGAGAGATTTATATTGAAAACAATTAAATTTCTCAGAATTAAATTCCTGTAAAGAATTTTATTATTTATAAAAATAATTGAATTTTTGCTGAGGATTTTATTAAATATTTAGAAAATAAGAATCCCTTTGAAGAATTTTGTTAAAAATTTTTGAAATAATTATATTCATTCAAGGAATTTAATAAAAATTCCATTAAAAATAATTAAACTCATAAAATAATTAAAAATAATTGAATTCTTTTCAGAAATTGTATTAAAAATAATTCAATTCCTTTGAAGATTTTTATTATTTCTGAAAATAATTGAATTTTTTAAAGAAATTTTTTTAAAATTGTATTAAAAATAATTGAATATAAAAAAGGATTTTAATTGAAAATAATTCAATTCCTGTAAAGAATTTTATTGTTTAGAAAATTAAATCAATTCTTGAAAATTTTTTCGACGAATTTAACTAAAATTGTATTGAAAATAATTCAATTCTTATATAGAATTTTTTCGGCGAATTTAACTAAAATTGTATTGAAAATAATTCAATTCTTTTTTAGAATTTTATTAAAATTTTTGATAATAATTGAATTCCTTCGAGGAATTTAATAAAAATTATATTAAAAATAATTGAATTCCTGTGAAAAATTTTAATATTTCGGAAAATAATTGAATTCCTCCGAGAAATTTAATAAAAATTATATTAAAAATAAATGAATTCTTGCGAAAAATTTTAACATTTCGGAAAATAATTGAATTTCTACGAAAAATTTTATTATTTCTGAAAATAATTGAGTTCTTTAGAGAAATTCTGTTAAAATTGAATGAAAAATAATTGAAATTTTTAAGGAATTTAATTAAAATTGCAATAAAAATAATTGAATTCTCATAAAGAATTAAAAACAATTTTTATAAATAATTAAAATCATTAGATGATTTTATTGAAAAATTAATTTAAAATATTTGAACTACTTAGAAGAATTTACTATAATTTAAAAAAAATTTTAACTGTTATCAGAAATTTCATTAAAATTATATTGAAAATAATTGAATTCCTGGAAAGAATTTTATTAATTATGAAAATTATTATTTATTTCCAAGATTTTTATTACAATATAAAAAAATTGAATTGCTTCCAGAAATTTTATTCAAATTTTTTTTAAAAATAATTTAAGTATCAACATTTTTTAAAATTTATAATACTTTTTCTAAACAATTTTACTGAAATTTGCAAAATAATTTATTAAAATGGCATAAAATAATTGAATTCTCGCGGAGAATTTTATTTCCATTTTTGAAAAAAATTATATTTTTTAGAAGAATTTTATTTAATTTTTTTAAAATAATTAATTTCCTTCTGGAAATTTAATTAAATAAGAATAATTGAAATTTTATAAGAAATTTTATTAAAATTGTATTAAAAATAATTGAATTCCTTCAAGAAAATTGATTAATTGAAAATAATTATTTAATTTCGTAGAATTTTATTTAAATCTTTTAAAATAATTGATTTCTTTCTGGAAATTTAATTAATTAAAAATAATTGAATATTCATAAAGAATTTTATTAAAACATTGTAAAATAATTGATTTCTTACGAAGAATTTTATTATTTCTGAAAAAAATTGAATTTTTATAAGAAATTTTATTAAAATTGTATTAAAAATAATTGAATTATTTCAATAAATTTAATTAATTGAAAATAATTAAATTCATATAAATATTTTTATTAAAATTTGTATGAAATAATTGAATTCTTGAGGAGAACTTAATAAAAATTGTATTAAAAATAATTGAATTCCTGCGAAGAATTTTATTGTTTATTAAAATAATTGAATTTTTTAAAGAAATTTTATTAAAATTGTATTAAAAATAATTGAATTCTTTTAAGGAATTTAACTAAAATTGCATTAAAAATAATTGAATTCTGTGAAGAGTTTTATGAAAATTTTCAAAAATAATTAAATTCTTTAGAGAAATTGAATTAAAATAGTAAAATTTAATAAATTAAAAGTGTTTATTTAATAAACAATTAAAACCAAAGAAAATCTTAAAAAATATACAGAGATATATATTTTTGAAAATAATTGAATTCCTTCGAATCGAGAATTTTTAATCAAATTGACAATTCACAATCCATAAGAGTACTTCATTTTTATTTTCCAAAATTCTTTTTACACATAATTAATATACACAATTAATACATAGGTTATAAATAATTTCTTAACATTCATAACAGTAGTTTTCCAATTTCACAATAATATAAAATTTGTAGTATTTTCAATTATTCTGTAGATTAGTTTTTACTTTTTGAAATTAAAAAAAAAATACTTTCTATTCTTTTTTCTATTAAAAAAAAAGTAAATATAGATTAGTTTTAAAAAAAAGTATTTTTTGACACTGGAGATTAAGGGAAGAAGAAACAACTTTTTATAAAATTTACTATATACATATAATAGTTTTCTCTCTTTTTTCTTTCAAATAAAAGTTCGAAATGCCAAAACTTGAACACATTTTAACTTATTTTGCTCTAAATGACAAACACATTGTCACTCGCACATTAAATGCAAATAGCACCGCAAATTTGTTCGGGTTTATTCGCCACTGAATTATTAGTCGTCAATGAATCATAACGTTTTCTTTGGCAACAAAATCTATCAAAAAATTCACTATTCTCCGAAGTCTCATCATAATACGTATTCGATAAAATTTCATTTTCTTGTACGGCAATAAAAGTTTGTAAATCATTCTTTGGAAAACCATCGCGATAATAGAGTTTAATTGTATCGTACGCGTCCATAATGACAGAAATAAATAAACTCAGCACAACATAAATGTAGAGAGAAATAAAAGTATATAAATAAATTCTCGAGTACCACCACAACATTGGCGATTTGAATGATGACATTGAAAATGTTGCAAACATATCGTCACCATTTATTAATGCAAATAGACATTCGGATGTTGTTGCGAGTGTTTGAAATTTCATATGATACGGTCCCAATATAAGCCATCCACAAAATGTAAATCCCGCGTAAATTAAAATAGCGCACAATAAAAAACGTGTCACTTTTGGCGCCGCTTTCTTTAAAGTCAATATCACGACATTATAGGTTTTAAAGAAACCCAAATATCTCAATACGCCAAACCAAACTAATAAATTACCAGTTCCCAGAAAAATACTGCAAATATTCCAATGATCATTACCAAAGTGCTTCCTCTCAATTTGCTCCTTTATTCCCGAGCCAATAATTATTAGGAGATCATTAATAATAATCATCACGTACCATAAATCTAAAAATTCCAATCTCCCTTGTAGACTCAATGGTACATTATAAGTTTTCTTAAAGAATCCCATTGTCTCGAATTTCAATAATTGTGCTCTATATATTGCCCGCGAGCATAAAATCAACGAAAATGTACAAATAAGAATGACAAATAAATTCAATAGTGTCCTCAATGCTGATTCAATTTGACTATTGGAAAAATAGTGCGTCACACCTTTACATAATAATCGTCTTGGTACAGCGTCCAATGACAATAGCATTTGTCCATCAAAATCACCATTGTCGAAATTAATTTTTATTTTAAATGTATAACAATCGGGCGGTGTTATAGGCCCCGCGGCCTTTAAATTAACAGTCTTAATGGCAAATTTTAATTCGGCTCTAATCATTGATGAGAAATTTATTTTTACATTCTCCTCGTCCAAAAATGAAACAATGGAAAATTTTTCATTATATGTGTGCGTTATATTCACGCATAATTCCTCGATATCCTTGTCAAAAATATAACTTTCGTTAAAACCAAAAATTATTCCTTTCTTGTAGTGTTGTAAGCACAATATTACTGGTCCTCGTGAATTATCCTCTGAATCGTAGGAATAGGAGCCAATTGCATTATCTAGATTGTAGTAACCGTCAAGGGCAAAATTCACGGTCTCGAAAAAATCGTCTTTTTTGTAGATGGCGAATGGACCTGAAGCTGGTGGATACGCTGGAACCTGAAAATTTGGAGTTTCGTATAAACTTTAGAGAAAATTGATTTAATCTAAATGTCTTTAATGTTTCGAAAGTTCAGATTATAAAAATAATTGAATTCTTGTGAAGAATTTTATTACAAAGAAAACTATAATTGATTTTTTACAATGAATTTTGTTAAAATTGTATAGAAAATAACTGAAATTCTGTAAAAAAGTTTATTATTTAAAAAAAAAAATTGAATTGCTGCGAAGAATTTTACTATTTAGAAAAATTTAATTGAATTTTTGCAAAGGAATTTTTTTGAATATTGTATTGAAAATAATTGAATTCTTGCGAAGAACTTTATTATTTATCTAAAAATAACTGAATTCTTGCAAAGAATTTTACTAAAATTTTAAATAATAATAATGGTATTACTTAGTAAGTGGATTTTAAAAATTTTTGAATCTGAAGGTATTCAAAGAATGAAGTTGGTTTTTAAAGTTAAAAAATTTTGAAATTTGTTCAACAATGATAAAAAAAAACATAAATTTAATCGTTTACCTCTTGTACTGCATCCCATCCTCTGAGAAAGAGATGCGAGAATGCAATTCGATTGTCCCATGTGTAATTGACGTGAATATAATTGTTATGTGCGAATAAACACAGTTGTATCGTGACTAAAACTATTTTTACTATTTGTACAATAAATTTGTATGGAAATCTACGTTTAGCTTGCCATTTCTCAATAGGATTCATAAAGAAAAATCTCAATTTTCGTCGCATTTTGTCTTCATTAAATGAATTGACAGTCGAATCTCTGTGATAATTATTTGGAATAAACGGTTCCGATGAACTGTAAAAAAATAAACAATGAGGGAAAAATCGAAATTCTCACTGAGAATCAAGGAGAAACAAAAATAAAATTTTTCCAGCAATATAATTATTATTAAAAAGCAAACCTTGCATCAATTGACGGACTTTCATCTTCGTCGACAGTTTCTTCTTGACTCCAAGCATTGTCAGCGGGATTTTTATTTTCCGCCATTATACTCGCAAGATAGTAAAAATATTTAAAATGCACTATAATTATGTAATTATGCAGTTTACTGCAAACTGCATCTGATTGTTTTTAATCTGAAAAGAAAAATACATAACTCTGAGGAGAAAAGAAATGTTTACGTTTGCACAATTTGAATAATTTTTTTCTCGTTATAAAATAAATAAAAATGAAAAAATAGTATTTAAAATATTATTTCCTATACCTGCGTATGTAAATGTAAGACAAAAGACACTTTATCTCGATCTATAGCACATATGCTTAGAGATAATTTTCTTTATTTACCTTTCTATTATTCAATCTCCGTTCCTTTAAATTTAGAATCATTGGAAATTGGGGAAATTGCATTAGACAATTGTTTCTTTAAAATTATGAATAATTATGAATAATTATGAACAATTATGAACAATTATATCCAGTAAATTAAAAACATTACACTTTAGAATGTACATTAATGAACACCTTTGAAGTTTACATAGCTTTGTGCGAATGTGATTTTTCTATTTTTTTGCAAACTTTTTTTTATTATGACAATTCAGTTAAGGTTATATCAGGGTTGGGTGGATAAATTTACAACATTTCTTTGTTCTCTTTACGTTTTTTACGGCGACAGCTACACAACCCTGAACTTCTGGGCGTGTATTAAATTGTCACGTACTCGAACTACCCAACCTTGTCTTTGACAAGTATCACAAGTATTTATTTCTCCCCGCAGTAGAAAATTTGATTCCTGTCTCTTTTCCTCTTGTGAAATTGTCAGTTACCTGTCAAACGAAGAAAAAGGTAAAAGCATCTTTTGCGAAATATACAACAAAGTTTTCAAAGAAAGTTCTGAACCCGCCCTAAAGAACGAAGTAGCCAAAGAAGTGAAGCGAAGGGCGAAGGAAGAAAAGAGAGAATTGAAGTGTAATATGGCTGTCATCTCGTGAGATGAAGGTGCCCAGTTTGTTCAGCAATTCCACAATGGAGGATAGCTCCACATCTCCTTCGCAAAATTACAACGGACAGATATCTGGTGGAGCAAATATTTTACTCTCGAATAATAAGCATCAAGGTAGTGATAATGGCAGTGCTAATTTAAAGGAAGTAGTGAAAGATCAGAGACCACAATACTCAATGCCTGGTATACTACACTACATTCAGCATGAATGGGCTCGTTTTGAACTCGAAAGATCCCAATGGGAGCTCGATAGAGCTGAATTTCAGGTAATTTTCCACCATTATTTCCTTTGATTTTCATTTTATAGAGACTTTTCAACTATTCGCTTGATATTTATTTACCTAAAAACTATAATGCTCATACCCCTTTTACTTCCAATTGAGAGGAATAAGTTTTTATCGATTTTTCTAACTTGATTTTTTTTATATACTAAACACAATCAACAAGTATAGTTTATTGTTTTTTTTATTTACGTTTTTACTATATCGATTGAATTTATTTGTAGCCAATTGGATACATGTCAAAGTTATGATTTTGACATGATATCAACCGGTATTATTGACATCGCCGTCAGCCTTTTTATTATCATTATTGCCCACAGGCAACAAACTTTACTAATTAAACTCGAATTCTCAATATATTGATATTTCGTTATAATTATAATTCCCAAAGAAAGTTTTTTGCAACTCTTTCGTGAGTTAATGCAAAATTATAACGTGATTTTGACAAAAAAAATTTTTTGTTATTCTATTGTATTTCGAGTAGGTGTATATTATAGGAAGTTGAAACAAAACAAACGCGAAGTACAAATTATTTTTCTCAAGGTGTCTATTGTGGATCTTTACTTCCTTTTCAAAATATATAATACAATAGTTGAAATTTTGTTTTAAAGTAAAATTATATTGCAAATGCAGAGAAATAAACTTAATGTTTACAATAAAAAAAAATGCACTCGTAAAAATAAAATATATTGTCGAGTCATTAATATTTTGCATAAAATTAACTTTAATAATTTGCGTAAAATATAAAAGTGTAAAATAAAATAAATGAAATTAAAATAATAAAAATTTTAATCTACGAAAAAATATAAAAATTGCATAAAATGAAGAAAATTATTTTCTAAAAAACTAAAATGTTTTTATATTTAACGTTTTTAAATATTGTGACAATGATATAAATTTGTTTCTTTTCGTGCAATGTACTCGCGATATAATTTAAAGAAATAAAAATATTTAAAATTTATTAGCTTATATAAAGCAACGAGTTTTATGATCGTTAATCACATTTTACGTGGTATTGCTTGGGGAATGAAATTCGTAATAAATTTATGAAACTGGTATTTGATTTTTCCGAACTTATTCTAATATTACGTAAAATCACGTTTAACTTATTCTGTATATTTTTTGTTTTCGGAAAATTAAAATCACTTTTTAATTTAATTTTTAATTTATAAAAATAGTAAAATAATTTTCCGTTTTTTCAAAAAATAAAAAATTTTATTTAATTTTTCCAATTATATTAAATTTTACTAACAAAAAATTGTTTATACGTTTACTTTTTTTCATTTTAGTTCTAATTTGATTAGTTGATAATAAAATAAATAAAAAATGATTCTCAATATAAATACATATTAAAAGTATATTTTTTGAATAAAGATTGTAATTACCAACAGTAAAATTATTAATAGTATTTTTTTTAATAAATGTAATAATAATGTAATGTGACAATAAATGCGGTCGAACATAAAAATTTTATTAAATTTATAAAATAAAAATTTTATTTTAACTATTCTATGCAATTTTAATAAACTTTTCAAATTATTAGAACTTATTTTAAATAATATTTCATTTAACTTATTTTTTAATCTAATTTTTCAATTTTTGTTTTTAGGCCAGAATAGCATTCCTTCAAGGAGAACGAAAGGGACAAGAAAATTTAAAAAATGATCTTGTTAGGCGAATAAAAATGCTGGAATATGCTTTGAAACAAGAGAGGTTAATATCAAAATTTTAATTAAATAATTTCATTAATTATAATATTTAATTATACAAATACATTTTTTTGTATAGTTGTTGCTTTTTTTTAAATATTTGACTTTATGTCCCTAAAGTTTTAAACGTCCAAATGAAAGACAAACATTTTTTTATTACTTCTTTCAATTTGAATTTTATTAGAAATATTTTTTTTGTGTTTAAAAAATTAATTAACTTAGAAAATATTCAAAATTTTCATTATTTATCTTATTTTATTATGTCCCTAAAGTTTTGAACATTCAAGTGAACAAAATTTATTTTCTATTTAAATATTTTCGAAAATTACAAAATAATGCAAATTTAATATTGATTTATTTGTAACAATTTTTTTTAATACACAAAATAATTTTTATAATAAAGTAAAAATTAAAGAAAGTAACAAAAATATCGCTATTCACTTGAACTTCAAAACTTTTAGAAACATATTTTTATTTAGTTCTTTTTCAATTTCTCCAAAGTTTTGAATGTTGAATTGAATGAAATATTTTCTTTCTATTCGGATATTTTTGAAAATTACTACACTTAAACGAAAGAAAAAATAAATTCAACATTTACTTAGTTAAAAACAATTTCTTAAATGATGAAAAATAATATTTTGCGAAATAGAATTGAAACCGAAGAATATAATAAAAAATATCGTAGTTCATTTGAACGTTCAAGACTTTAGGGGCAAATTTTTAAAAATATAAGAACGGAAAAAAATGTTTTGTTTATTTGAACGTTCAAAACTTTAGTGAAATATGGCTTTAGAATTAATTTAATAAACATTTTTATTAGCAGATAATTTATCGAAAAATGATTAAAATTACAGATTGAAGTATCACAAATTAAAATATGGCACTGATTTAATAATTCAAGACGGCAAACCACCTGGTTATGAGGAAAGCAGTACATGCACCGGTTCCGAAGGAGGAGCCGGTGACGCGGAAGTGTCATTCTCATCAGTTAGCAATGTAACTTGGCGAAGAAGCCGACAGCTCTTACGACAGTAAGTTTATTATTTTCCATTTATTTATTTTCTTTTTTCAAATTTAAAAATTTAAATTCAATTTTAAACTTTTAATTCTATTAAATTAAAAATAATATTCAATTTGGCGAATTTAAATGAATTTGATTAAATTATTTCACTTTTTGAGTGTAGATTTTAAAAATAAAGGTAAAGAATAATAATAGGCAATATTGATAGGAATGTACATATTTGAAATATTTTTCCTATTTTTTGTCGCAGGTATCTACAGGAGATAGGCTACACCGACACAATCATTGACGTTCGTTCAAACAGAGTACGATCACTTCTTGGATTGAACAATAATACCGAAACAGACGAATTAAATACTCCGGCTCTCAATGGAAATGATCCATCTAATAAACGAACGGGTGAAAGATTAACTACAACAAAAAAGGTGGAGGTAAATAGACAATTTTCTTTTTTAAAAACAATTTTTATTTGTAAATAAAATGCATTCTAAAATGTCTGCGCAGGTAATTTACATTATATTATAAGAGAGAATAAATATTATTTTCCATATTGAATGAAAGCAAAATATATTATTTGGATATTAATATTTTAATTTAATAATTTAATATTAGTATTTTAATTTAATGATTTAATATTAATAAAATATTAATGTCCAAGTAATATATTAATATTTTATTAATATTTAACTATTAAATTAAATTATTAATAAAATTAATAAAGAAAAAATAAAAAAATTCTATTTCTGATTGCGTTAAAGAGAAATGATTGATTGCTTTCCTTTTCGTGACAGCAACAACCAACATCATTTGGTGAAGCTATACTACTCGATACTGAAGCAGCGATTTTGGCAAATTTCAATTTTCTGGTCAATCAACACGACGATAGACAAAATATGGAAGAAGATGAAGATGATGCCGACGATGAAGTTTATGATTCAAAGCCAGAGACAAAACACAATAAGGTAATTTGCTTTTCTTTCTCCTTTTTTTAAAATGGTAACTTCTTTTTTTTTATTCACCTATTGAATGTTAATTTTTGTTAGTTAAATACAAATTTTTTCCTTTTTTCTTTTCTTAATTTTTTTTTATACTTATGGTGAATTTAATTAAAATTAAAATTTTCAATTTTTCTTCTTTTTTTATGCATAAATAGAAACGAAAACTTCGTTTTCAAATAAATAAATAAATATAAATATCAGAGAAACTGAGAGTAAGCACGTAATATTTTAATACGTTTTCGCTTCTCCGGAAAACGCGATTTTCATTACGTGCTTACTCTCAGTTTCTCTCTGTAAATATAATTGTACAAAAAATATAATAAAAATATAAAAAGGTACTTTGGAATATAAAAAATATAAATTTGAAATAAAATTAAAAATAGCGAAAAAAATATATGAATTATATATCATTAATATATTTGTTTATTTTTTTATATTTACTATAATAAAAAGAAACAAAAATTCAGATGATAAAGATCTGAACGAAGGTTCAAATTTTTTTTTCGTATTTTTATTTTTTGTGATTATTAAACTTTCATACAGGCAGTATTTCGAATTTTTATTTTTTGTAATTATTAAACATTGGTACAGTCAGTGTTTCGT